TAAAGGAAAAGCTTGCATATCCATGATTTTTCATTTATGCAGTCATTGGACCAAATATATCTCTGGTTCCAAGCATTCACAGTCAAAGCCATTAAAGCACAGATATGTTTGGCCTTTAAGCTATGACAGACAACATAAGCAAGTTATACAAGTTTCTGGTTGTTTAATCTAAATTTACATTTTGAAGTCTGTCCCAGCATTTGTAGTGAAGAAAGTATCAGTATTGTTCTTTTTTGCTGCTAATGGGAAAAGTTTTCAGCCTCTGGTACTGCATGAGCAAATCCACCAGTTTTTTGACTAAGGAAAGAACAGACACTTGCAGAGCAATTTCTAACCAAAACCCCATTCTCTACTGTTTTTGTGAAATGGACAAACTAGATTTAGAAGGAACTCTGTCTTGTGCCCATGGAGCACCTCTCATGTCATGCTTTTAAAGGCTGGCTTCTGCTTTACGAGCGTACATTTTTGCTATAAAACCAGGAAGCTGAAAACCAAAATATTCTTTTTATATACAGGCATCTCTTTCTAAGTATCACTGGCAAAGCTACTGCTTTGACTTAATTTGCAATTACATCAAGTACGAACAGGCAATATACTCCAAGTCCCATTGCCTGCAAGAAGCATGTTTACAGTATAGGGACTGCCAATACTCCATAATAGGGCTTTTGCAAATGGAATTTTAACTGTGCGCCACCTGACAGAAGCACTCATATATAGTTTGAACAGTAATTATGTTATTCTTGTAAAAAAATCTGCCCTGTAAGCTGTGACCTAAAGGTCACTGCTGCTGTACAAGAAAAATAACAGTAAAACAAAAGGCAAGTACAAAGAATTACAAAAAACAATTGCAAATATTAGTCCCAGTAAAAATAACACAGCTATAATAAACACTGACACATCATTTAATTTTACCATTACTAACAATTTTAAAAAATACTATAAATCAGTCTGATGCTGCCTGTCATGAGTTTAATGAAATTTTACTGGAAGCTACCTTCACTGGAAAAAAGCACTTCCAATTTCTGCAATGGTTTTTCAGAGACCAGGCCAAATGGCTCACCAACCACAGAAATGTCATGAATACTATAAAGGAAAGCAATGTGAAGAAGGTATTTTCAAACTATGTGTGTCGAAGGAGCAAGTATATTCATAAGGATAAAATCCTGCTTCCCTTAAAATCAATTAGACATTTTACTGCTTAGCCTAAGGTTCTGATGCCACAGGAGCTATTTATTTTTGCAGTCATTCTTGTAACCAAGAAATGGCACACTGTACCGCTATTAAATCACATTTTGCTAAGGCCAAATTACCACAACACAAATATTTTCAAGTGACAAAAATCTATCAATTTAAAATATGAATTCAGCCCCAACCTGAGGATGAGTCCATGCATGTTCAGTTGATACCTGACATACATGTATGCCTGCTGCAGACACTGTCACAATGTTCATTTAGCAAACTGGAAAATACTGGACTAAGCTTCACATTTACTCCAAAATTTCATATCAAAGCACCTGTTCTCTTATAAGAAAAAAAAAAAAAATAAAACCCACAATTTTGTATATAGTTAATAAGACACCCATATTTAGTAAGTACATTATGAAAAGAAAAACTTTTTGCAAGTACATAGCACCTAGGCCTATGAGGTTTCTATGAAAGTGAAAGTTTCTATGAAAGTTTCTATGAAGCTGAGTGAACATTTAATGCTTTTCCTGCTGATTTCCCTTCTATCTTTTATCCTTTTATTTATACATTTATTCTGGTTTTGAGATATCTCTAGACTTCACAAAGGCAACAAAATCCCTACAAAATTATTTAAGGTCTTCCTGAAAAATAGTGACTGAAAATTGGACATATTTCCTTCCCATATGAATGCTTCACAGGGAAGCTTTCTGTCAGTCCTCTCTGTACAAGTGAGATTACACTGCTCCTCACCTTTGCACAAATCCTGTTATTCCACCCTGGTCTGAGAGCCTCGATGAAGCCAGTAGAGTTGAAACACCAACAGAAGGCAGAGCATGCAGTGTATTTCTTGTATTTTTCTTGAAGATCCTAAACTGAGACAGCATTACATAGAGCAGAGCTATATACATTAACATATTAGTATTGCTGGCTGTAGCATTTGCCAAGGAGTTGGACAGATTAGACAAATCTTGATTAAGGTGGATCAAAATGATTAGGTTTGAAGTGTCCAGCAAGCATTTACTTGATATAGTGCAGTAAGTAGTTATATAGTGGAATTTCAGAGCAAAAATATCACATCAAAAGTCAACCGTTGACTGGAATTTTAAACAGCCGCTGCTTAAAATGTGACAGGCTTTCGCTTAGACTTTTGCTTAGTATGGAGAACAAGAATTTTAAAAACTGTAAAAGCAAAGCCCTGCAAAGCATGAAATACAGATACTCTCAATTCACCGAATAAGTAAAGGACTCGTTTCATAGCTGGGATACATTTAAGGTCAGGATAAGTTATTCCACATGGAAGTGGACTTTGGACAAGACACTCCCCATCTTTGGCTGGCAGCTACTTTATATCCACAAGGTCTCCTGCCTTCATCACAGCTTTGCCCTGGGGTCTGGTTGTCTTGTCATTCTTGTTCTGCCAAAACATTTATTTAGTTGTGACAAAAGACATTTTGCCACAGGATGAAACTGCTTTTGATGAGTTTTATCATACTTCTGGCCATGAGTCCCTATTTTACAAACAGCTTATGGTGCACAGATAGCTGTGTGAGAATGTTTTATTGTACAAGCACTCCTTTAATTTTTTTTCCCTCTTTAATAAGAAAAATGCTCATTGTAGCATTAATGAAGACAAACTAAAATAGCACGCTTCAGTTTGTACACTGCAGTGGAGGTTCTGATACCCAAAAAAACCTGTGTTTTTCCCTGGTGACTAAGAGTTGAGCTTTCACAGACATTTTGTATTTTGCATTCAAAGAAAAAATGTTCAGATTTGTTTCAAGACTTGGAGATGGATCTGAGGAAGAAAAAATGATAATCTTTCATAAAGATGATCTTTCGTAAATGAATTACTCTGAACCTTTCACCCTCTAATTTTTAAATTCAGTCCTATATTATGTCTCCTTTGGTTCCACTGAGAGAGGTTCAGAAGATCTGCTTGTACTAGCTTTATACTTTATTTGTTTCTTTCTTTTCATCTCTGTAAAACATACAACATCCAAAAATTAGCACCAGGACTTTTTAAATGTATATATTTCTACATAATTAAGTAATTAACTTCAACTTCTTTGAATGTATACACCGATAAAGGTATCGGTTTTAGAGTCCAAGAAGCAGCAAGAAAACAAAACTTTTATGGAGCCACAAACATTGAAACAAGAAAGGACTTTTACAATGATCTCTCTTGACTTCCTGTAAAACTTATCTCTCATAAAGAACTTCAACACCTGCACAGCCTAAAGCAAATTTATAATAATCTGTTGAACACCTTTAAGAAAAACACAGTTTTTGTGCAAGAATTTCAAATGAAGCTATCACTACATATACACAGGCAATGAGTATTTTCCAGTAGTCACTTAGCAAAAAAATGCTCAATTTTCCCCTCCCTAGTACAACTTCCTGAGCAGCTTTTTCTCAGCCTACTCTGTTTTCTCATTCGTAATTGTGTTTTATTTGTCATGATGGCTAGGTTAATCTGGTTCCTGTTACAACTTCTCTGAATAAAAAATATCAGGTCACAGTTTATAAATAGATGTGGCAAAATGGAAAGCTTTCCTGGGAAGTATGGAATATGAGTATGGAATGATGGCAACTTCTGTTAAGAGTAAATTATTCTTTTTTTTTACCTGTTAAAATTTTAGTTGCTATATTTTTTCCACCTACAAAGCTAACCAAAAAATGCCCCCTGCACCAAAACCTGTGATTTTTATCTAATATCAGTAGACATCACCAGCGTTTGTGTGTTCAGCAGGGCAATGTGAATTTATCTGATATGCGTTTGAGAATGAGACGTTAAGTTTAATGTTGCAATCATCCAAAGCAGCTTCACACGTAAAGCAGAGCATCCATTCTGGGTTTGTAGAGATCCCTCTTGTCACATTCCCACGCAGGAACTTCCCTGCACATTCCTGTGCAGGCAGCACCTCAGCTGCTCGTGTTAGCTCAGAGGAGCCCAGGATCATGTCCATGTCCACCGTGGCACCGTGGAGCTGCGCAGCAATTCCTGGTGAAACCCCAGGCAGGGGAATTAGACCTCGATCTTGCTGTCTGGGGAATGAAATCTGTAAAACATAACTTCCCTATGCACTTGCTCATCAGTAAACATTTTGCTTGAATTATTGCTCAGATTAGCTTGGGATCACGTATCTCAGGGACAGACAAGGAGATAAGCTTTGTCAGATCAACTAAGTGTTGTTTACACAGTAGCACTGAAAAAGTCTTCAGAAAATTTTGTAGCATATTGTGCTGTTTGGCACAACGAAGGGCATCAAAGCCTGGAGCTCAAAATGTAAACATAGGTGTGATTTAACACCTCCAAGATTTCAACTAAATAGTTTCAAAGACTTCTGTCAAATGGATGTAGCCAGATCCTGCTTTTATAGCATCTGTAGTTTAAACTCGGTTGGGGTGACAGTGAAGGGGAAGCTCATACCTATGAGATGTAGGAAACATAGCACCGTAATTGATATGCTGTCTAACAGGGAACTAATGTAAATCTTTCAGCAAAGGGGAAATATGCTTTGAATGTTTACTTTGAGTGATAAGGCCCCCTGATACATTTTGAACCTGCTCAGCTCTGTAAAGAATCTTGCCTGGAAAGCCTGTGAGCATTAGTATAATGAGTGGTCAAAAAAACCTGGACTGCCAGCCCTATTTGCAAATATAAAATACATAGCTGGGCACTGTGCTAAATGGAGTCTTTAACGTTGAGACTAATATTTTCTAATGTTTATTTAAGAGCCCATAGTGATGGGAATTGCTATGTATAGGTATCATGTTATTCCTATTAATGGGAATGAAGAATAACACAAAAGAAGTTAAGCAATTGTTGAGTTTACTCCAACAGAATCCTATCCAATTTCCATTTTAGCAAGAAGAAATAAAGTTTTGTAATACTCAAACAGATACATCGTTTTTAAAATATAAATGCAGCTTTCTGTATAATTTAAATTTAAAGAAAAATATAAAATGGAAAGATTTAATTTTCTTTTTTTTTTTTTTTTTCCTTTCCTTAAAAGATTAAATTAAATATGGATGTTTGAAATATTTTTGTTCCGAGTTTTTTTTTTTTTGTTGTTGTTGTTTTTTTTTCTTCTTCTTTCATGAAAAGCACGTAACTTTGCTCAGTTATGGTTGAGAAGAATATTGTTTAAATAAAATGCCTGAAACAAAATCTCTTGAGTCAATGGAAAGACTTTCTCTGGCTCCCTGGGCATTTGATCAAACTTTCATTCAGAAAACATTTTTCTCCACCAACATACTTAAGCTGTTAAAATTAAAATGCAATTTAAGCAATTACATAAATAAGAGTAACAAATGTTTCTTTTCCTAAGTGCAAGCAGGTGTAGAGCACCATCAAGGTTGTTCTGCAAGAGCCACAATCTCCACTTACGTGAGCAGTGCCGACAGAGACCAAGACAAAAGTAACAAAACATTACAAACCTTAAACAAGATTAGCCCAGTTTACATCCTGTTGTGCAAACAGATCTACTTCATCATCTATTTGAACTATGCCAACTGTTATTACAAGCCAATGTTAACACACATATTCACGTTACTTCATGAGCACAACACAGAGAAATACGTAATGTATATACATTTAAATGACGCGGCTGTGATGCTCTGGTTTGCATGATTGATAAGTTAAGCAATTAATTATACTTACAAGAAATCAGAACTCATCTACCAACTGATTTGCTTTTAAGTACAAATTTCACTATGTACTACTACTATAAAGTATTACTTTCACTGGAATTACACTGAGGCTTTTTTAAAAAAAATCTGGTTCAAATATACAAGGAAGTTGCAGAATTTATTTTAAAGCATTTTACATGACAGATGCTTTCCAAAGCATCTTATATGCTTTTATATTTCCAAGCTCTTGAAGCTTGGAAAACAAAGCTCTTATATTTCCAAAACCTAGCTCCAGCCCTTAATGCTCAGATTTCTGCTTTTTCTGATAACTCACAGCCCAAATCTAAGCAGAACAATATCCTAATTCTTTATAACATTTATGAAAATAAAAATTTAAAACTAGACCCTCAGCAACAGCAATTCAGCAGCTTCGGTATAATACCTATACTTGAAACATACTTAACATACAGAAGTTAGAGAATCTATTACTATTCTATTAAACTAATTCTATTAATCTATTAACGACAACCTCTCTCCATTACTCCAACTGTTCTATTTTTCTTCTATTAGTCCCTAAATGCTCAATCAATATTTACACATGCTGTCAACACAAAAGCTGCAGTGTATTCATTATAAAGGTTTTCTTTAGTTAACCAGAAAGGAAAATCCCCAGCTAGTGCAAAATAGATGCTGAACTACAGCTAAGCATCAGATTATAGAGTATTGTATAATGTCAATAAAGTATTTTTGTGGTTTCTAATGGTTTCTCTTTGAACCAGCTTTTGTATTTTCACTTCCAGTATGTTATTCTTTATGGACATATAAACTTTATTAATAAATGCTTTAAATCTCATTTTGTATGTATTTTTCCCCTTGATTCTCTCCTGCTTCTTGATGAAATAAAACTTAATATAAGATCAAAAGGCCACCAAAAATTAGCGTTGAATAACATAACTGAAAACTAAATTTGTATTTGCCTCTCTTTATATTTTATATTTGTCTCTGCCATCAATGTTATTACTACATTTAAACTTGTTTTTTTTTTTTTTTTTTTTTTTTTTTTTTAAGTTTTATGATGATCTTCCATGAGATTCTTCTATATACACACATTGTGCTATCAGGAATCACTAAAACGTGCAGCTATACAATTTGCTAGTTTACACTGGTTAGGCTGCATTTCCTCCCATTTTTGTCTCACATCAATAATCTACAGCAAAATCCTTCTGGAGACAGAAAACAGTATTGAGAGGAACAGAGTTAGTGTTTCTTTCTCAAGAACCAGCTGACAAGGTGTGATGCATGCAATATATTGACAGAAAGACATGATGTGAGACAAAGAGGATTTCAACACTTATTTCAGTACAAGACAACAAACACTGAAGCATTTGCTCAGTTACTTTAGAACAGCTTGGGAACAGTAGAAAGATAATTGTGCAAAGCTGATTTTCTAAACAAGCCTGCTTTGGAAATATTTTGAACAACCACTGTAGGAATGATTTTTACTGAGCTTAAGAAAATTTGCAATTCAGTGGCTTTTTCTTTCCCACGTATATGTATGCAATAGTTACATATACCCATTAGACTAAATACAGTTTTGTGGGAAATAATTTGGTATAATGACTTTATAAATGACTGAAGGATTTCATTACTGACCTGTATTGAAGGGAATGCTGGAGAGGTTTGAAAAAAAAAATCTTTCCAGATTCCCACGTAATTGGCAGGCAGTATTGCACTTGCCTGATCCCTGATGAATGCCACCCCCTCAGAGCATGCCTACGACTGCTGTTGATTTAACTTCACTTACTGGAGGATATGAAAATTTGGGTACAAAGCAGGTATGGTTGAAATTAAACAGACAGTTCATGGCAATACCAACATAAATACAGGGGAATTTCTCTGGGGTTGGTGTGGGTGTTTTGCACTTCTATCAGAGGTAGGCAGCAGGATTTGGTCCATGGTCCCACAAATATCTGCCAAAAACAGGGGCTATCGCTGTTCCCTTTCTAAGGATCGTTCAGTCGGCGCTAATACTGCCTAAATCGGGAGCCATCTGAAAGAACTTTGGCCAAGCGTTATCATCCAGGTCTTGATAATCTTTTATTTGGAAGGCCATCAATCCAACGCCCAAAGCCGGCATCCATTACACCTCGCCCTCCACCGCTGCAGCCGAGCGGGTCACATAGTGCAGGCGCGGGGAGCTGGCTCCCCTCACACCCACCCCTGCCACGGCCCCAGGGCACGGGGGGGCGGTGGGGGAGCCTCCCAAGGCAGCGAGCAGACCCTTGGGCGGCAAGTACCGAGGGGCCCGGCCTGCGGTGCCCCGCCAGGTGGCGGTGCGGGGCGGCTCGCAGCGCCGGGCCGGGCCGGGCCGGGCCGGCCGCGGGCTGGAGGCGGGCGGCGGCTGAGGGGGCGCTGAGGGGCCGCGTCCTGCGGCGGGCCGGGGGCTGCTCACGGGGAGGCCGCCGCGGAGAAGGAGCCGTGAGGTGCCGGCGGCAGAAACTGCTGGCTCGTCGGTGCTTTGTGGCCTCTCGAGGAGGTTTTTTAAACAAAATTCGTGCTTTGTTTTCTGTGCGGATCTGCTGTTACTACGGGAAGCTCTGCTGTCATCTGCAAGCAACGGCACTGAAGTCCCAGCAGCAGTTTCAGTTACCAGCTTTCCGACGCTTTCCGATTTTATCACTTCAGTCTCAGCTGTGAACAACCAATTAATCCACATACAACGTTTTACAACGAGAGCTGTAAAGGAGAGACTAACAAATTGGTTGCACCGCGTTATACAATTAGCTTTTACAAGTGTTCTGCTTTACAGCTAGAATCAGTAATCAGGTTATTTGTATTTTTGTTTTTATTACTGCTGAAAATTAGCTTGGGATTACAGTGACACATACAAACGTGAAAAATTACATTTTTAGTGGTACTAAAACTACATTTCTAAAGCCATTCAGGGGAACAAAAAGAAGCATGTCACATTTACCATCTCTTTCCTAAAGGTGACTTTTTTTTTAAAGTATACATTTCTATTTGAAGTATCTTTTATTATCTGTCATTTTATACAGATAGTGCCAAGAATCTCTTCCTAAAGGAGTTCTTTAACCTTACAAGATACTCCTTCAGGGCACGTGTCTCACTTCAGTCTTCTGAGCAGTTCTGAAGCTGCAGTACCAGCAACGGCATTTCAAACCCTTTCTGAAAACAACGTAGGGACTGTAGCTGTGGGACTCTGGCGGCACTTTATGACAAACACACACAGCCATGGAGAGGTTTAAAAAGTGGATCTAGAGCACAAGAAGCTAAATGGAAAGATGTATCAATTTCAACAGCCTTCATGATATGTGTGAATTATTATTAAACCCACATACCAAGAAACTGTAATCAGCCGCTCTCTGTTTATTTGATTTCCCTTGTTTTCAGCTGTCTGAAAAGAAAAAAAAAAAAAGATACTACTATACTATACTACTATATACATATGTATATAAAGTAGTATCTTTTCTTATCACACATATATATATATCTTATCATATATATATATATGGATGTTTTCTGAGAATTAACACTTTTCTACACAACTAGCAAAAATCAGTGATTTTGTACCAGGTAGTACAGTGCTAGTTACAAAGAATTCCGTACAGTTAGAAAATAATGGGTAGATATTCCAAGTTCTGACTAGGAATTTGTAGGGCACTCATCCTAAGATTAATGAAAAGCACATATGAAAACTCTGCAAATCACCTGGAAAACATAACCTCAGAAGCAAGCAAATACCTGCTAAGGGATTTACTCTCTTTGCTTTTGCATAGGGAAACACATTGGTATTAAGGGCACGGTTAATCCAAAGGAAGGATAATAAAATCCACCTCTTCTTCTCTCAAATGTGAGAACTTTGAGGACTGTCAAAGCAATTTTTCATTCTCTGAATTTGTTTCTAACATATTATTAGAAGTCTGCAGAAACATTCAGTGCTGGATAAGTCTTCCCAGTGTATTCAAAGTAATATTGGATGCAATATAAAAAGTGGTTTGGCCTTTCAAGAAAACCATCAGTTCAAAGTATTTTCAGCATAATCCAGGACACTAAATCACTAGTTAAATAGAAACATTTACTGACAGCCCCAGTACAAATGTTTTATTGTGAAGAGCAATGAATATAATGACCAGGGCTGTAGCCTCTTGGTCTGGCTAAACAAGGTGGTGGCGTTGGTGGGTATATAGGATTAAAATGTCGTTGCCAGGGCTAAGCTGGCAAGCTAGAAGGAAAACAGGAAGAGTGCCCAGCAGGCTTATTAAAGCATTAGAAGGACTTTAATAATTTCTGTCAGTAAATAGGTCTAACTGAGATAGCCTTATGTACTCCAAAGCAGGCAAAAAGTTCCTTTAAAGTCATTAAAGCTGTTTATAAAGTTTAATAAAATGGAAGACAAGCTGCTCCCAAACTGATAAGCCATCTCAGTGCTGGCTGAACAAACCAGCCCTAAAAGCAAACGTTTCCATGGGGTAGATCCACACTGAAATAAATTGTGTAAATCCAAGCTTGCTTTAATCAAGTACCAAATCAGCTTTAATTTTACTCATTCTAGTCAGTGCAGCAACACACACAGCCTAGACATCCACAAACCTGCCTGTCCACACTTGCAAAGTCCACACTAAACCTTGTGCTCCTGCAGCAACACAACTACCCAGGTTGGGAGAGATGAGCTACCAAGCTACACGGTCTAAAACTGCACCCTCAGAGCAAATCCACATTGGAATTATTTCCTTGTTATCCAAATAGCAAATATTTTAATTAGTTACTGCTTCAATTAAAAAATGAAAACTACTTCTGGTTTCAGTGCTTCTATTTCTCCTTTTCCATATTCGTTCCATGCTGCAAGCTTATGTTTTCATGCTTCTGTTCTTTTACAATTATGTTCTATTTAATACAACGTCTCTTTTCAATATTTCTTACTGCACATCAAAGCTGAACTGGCAAAAAAATCACATCACTTCCTAAGCCTTGCAGAATTGTTTCACTATTAATTACATGCAGTGTAACAACTGGATTACTGAATATTTGAAGTTCTCTGTATCCCAGCATCATGGACAACAGGCTTCAGAAATGTGATGAAACCTTTTTGCAGCCAATATTCTGGGGGTTACTATGCATGAAAATGCTGTTCAATGATTTTGTCAGTCAGTTTTCACCTGCCCAATACTTAAAAAGAACTGTACCATACTATATCGATACCTCAGGAAAAACAAACAAACAAACAAACAAATGAACAAACAAAAATAACAACAACAACAACAACAAAAAGAAACAACAACAAAAAAAACCCACCACGGTTTATGTGTTCAGAGGTTGGGTTCCCAGACTGCAAAATACTTTGTGAGAATTAAGAAATGAATTAGTCTTCTGAGGCAGTTAAATGCCTCCTTGTAGTGTGATGCTCTGTATCTGATGCTAGCAGGCTCCTTCTCTGCAAAAAATGCCCAGAACAGGCTCATAGTAGCTTGCTCGTTCTTTAGTAGACAGATAAGACACCAAGTGATATGCTAGCATTATAATTATAGTCAAAGACGCACAGCAAAAACAAGATACAGTTCCAATTCATCTGAATTATGTAGTACTATGTTCCAAATTCAATAACATAAAAGGTAAAATGCAGTTTGTTTGTTTGTTTGTTTCTGCAAACAATCTACTTTTATTACATTTTTATTATTTCAGACATTAACTTTCTCTTTAGCTTTCAAAATGATCAGAGCAATACTATTCACATAATTAAAAGGAAGAATGAATGGCTACCAGTGCACATAAAACCCCACTGTTCTTTCACCAGCTCTTAATCCTATCAGGGCTGGCATGAAATAGATAGCAAATGCTGTAATTGTACTAGTCAGAAAAGAATGGCAAGGACAGAGTTTGCAGAGAGGAAAGTAAACAAACTCAGATGGAAAAAAAAAAAAAAAAAAAAAAAGAGTTGTATATGCATATATCTTTTTGCAGTTAATCATAGAGTGCCTTCTACGTATGCCACTATTACATCTTCAGTATAGTATGTTCTTACATAAAACGCACCTTACTACAGGATATTTGCATGACCTCTTCAATATTGCTAAACTAGATTTCATTTTAGTGCCATTAATTGACGATGATGAGATATGCACTGCTATTAGATACTTCATTACTTAATTTTTCATGAACCAAAGTTGAGAAGAAGTGCAGAGGGCAAGGCACATTTTATTTTATTCACAGGATTATTCATGCATGCTCTGTGATGAGGGAGTTGCCATGATCGGTTCACCGTTTTGTTGAAAAAAAAGTAAATTAGTAAGCGAGAAAGTATGCACTGGCTTGTCAGCTTTTACATTAAGGCTGCCTCGGGGTAGCCTTCACTTGCATGCTTTCCTCTATGTCAGAATTTCTTTTTAATCCACATAGTTTGAGCACTGAAGCATAACCCATTTTTTCTTTATCTGATTCTAAGGTTAGAAGTATATTGTTAAAGGAAACTTTAATAGTCCTTTAAGTCTAGAGTTAAATTATATTTCAGTAAATGTTACTTAGGCAAATATGTTAAGCTAGGTACATCGTGCTTCCAGGCTTTATTAAACAAGAGATCATAAACCAGGTCACCCCCACTGAAAATGGGTGATGTTGAAAAGAGTGCAGGAAAAGCCATCACAAATGCTATTTTCTCTCCCAGCTCAAAACTTGCTTTCCAACCTTTTATCAAACCCAAAATGTTGCCAGATATTAATTTCTCTGTCTGAATAAAAGGGTGTTAGTAGTTAAAAAATAAACATACTGCAGAATGAAATGTTATGATTTTTTTTTTTAACAAATTATATAAATTCTACAGTAGCAAAGAATATGATCTCAATTTCCAGATGGCAATCATCTTTGCTTAATGCAAGATACGTGCAACTTCTAAGTAGGAATTAAAATTAAGAGTCAACCCGTCAGGTTACCATCAAAACAATATGCACCAACCCTCTATATTAGATTATTTTAATTGAAAGGGGAGGGGAGTTAGACTTTTGACTCAGTTTGAATAGGTCTGATGTCTGCCTACACATACTTCCCAAGAGATAAGGAAAACCACCTAGTAAATATTAGAAGTATTTAGGTCAAATCCATTAATAATAAGATCCATTCTGAACCACAAGCATGCTTGTGCTTAGGGTTTGCAAGGATACATCTCCAAGCACTGATAGGCTATATTTCAGTTCTGCAGACTGAATCTTAAGATCTGAAAGACAAGCATTTCATGGAGATTCAATAAAGAAACCAAAATGTGGAAAAAAACAAATACACTGAATGTGAAGGACTTGTTTCCACAACTTTTGACTGCAAAGATGCATGCCTGACACAGCAGTCATTTGCAAAGCCAAAAGCTAGTCAAGGAACAGATGATGTATCTCTACTCACTCAAGATTACAACCACATTTATTGCCTAAAATTAGTTGCTCTAACAAAAACATTGATATGATCATTCCATGGACAAAATGCTCTCACAATCACATCTGACTTCCAGTTACTGTCTGAAGCGACTCTCTTCACCTGACCCTTCTGCTACCTGCCCTCCACAGACTCCTTCCTGCTCCTTGCTTCCCTGCCCTGAGTACCTCCCCCTGCTCCCGCTATGTTACTCACATTCTCAGTCAGCTACAGGTGGCCAGGGTAACTTTTACTTAGTCCTCTTTCAGCACTTTTCTTTGGACCTTTTTTTCCAAGCTGGAAACTCGCACATGCTTTAGTCTAGACATGAATACACTGTCTGTTTTTGCTCCTCAGACAGCATCTTTTCACAGTAACTTCACACATTATAGCTGAAAGTGGAACCTCGATATTTACCATTGGGGGAACAGAGGAAAAAGCAGCACCATTTTGGCAGTCCCAGCTCTTGACTTCCCTAGGTACCCAAATTCTGGTGGCGAGAAGGGGCCACAGAGACAGCAGAATATACCATGGAGGAATACCACCATAGGGAAGATGACATCTTACTGCTGTAAGAGCAGAGAAATTTCCTTAGCAGCCCTAGTGAGGAACTGTTATAAAGCCCTGATCGGCAATAGAAAGTGAGGAAGTTAAAATACTTTTTCTGAGTTACAGCTCTGCTGGTAGCTGCTGTAACATGGTGAAAATCAGAAGCAAGCCTGGAGGCGGAAGGGTGCCTCAATGCCACCTTTACACCCTACCTACAGACACTGGTGAAAGACAACTTCAGTTTATACCTACCCTTGTCCTGTGTCCTGTGCTTCCCACTGAAATACAACAGCTGAAAACCAAGGTCTTAGCATACCTGAAAGAAATGAAAAACAATTAGCAAAGATGCTCAGATTTTTTTTTTTTCCACCAGCCTGATTTCTAGGATTTCTCAAACGTACCGTCTCTTAAAGGTTGTGAAATTCCTTCTTCAAGCCCCACTCTGTTCATCTCTCAGTACCCAGCTTGTGCCTCAATCCCAGGCCACATTACTACTCACGGTTCATGAGCGCTAATACAGATTTTGTTTGAAAAGCCACACGTTAGCAAACCACAGTTATTTGCAAGCCTGGCCCAGGGCTAGTGTCAGACATCAACACATAAGCAACACAGATATTTTATTTAATTAAGTCATACCATCTGGGCCAACAATGAAGCCACTCATGTACTTTGCCTTTGCTTTCAGCCTGTCTAGTGCTCTCATCCCCTCAAAATTATTCTAAAAGCCAAATCTCCATGGAGTTTAAGGAACAGTTTCAGCTGCTACTTGCATTAGGCTGAATTTCTGCTGCAACATAATAAGGATTTTTCCTATCCTAATAAAGCGAGTGACCAGAGTGCCACAGATTTATGTTCCTTAGTATAGTCTGAATGCTGCATCCACCATGCAGGAAATTACTAATGAGCAACTAAAAGGACTGAGCTATATATAGGACGTGTGCATACTACCATGTAGCCACCAACTTTATTCTGCCAAAGATTATTTGCTATGAAAAACAAAGGTAGGACCAAACGGCCACGTGTAAGATGGAGAGAGTTGCTATTCATGCTCTATAGGCTTTCTGCAGCATTACTGCTGCTGCTGCCCACAGACGCTCCCAACAAAGATCGGCCTTCCTACTGAACCAGGGGTTTTCTAACCTGGAAACACATGCACAACCAACAAGAACCAAACCAAGTAATCTGTGACAAATACAAGTTTAGGTCTTTGGAGATGAGAAACCCTCAAATGCTTTAAGTCTTCTGACTCCAAAAGCTGTCTTAGGAAGGACGTGTGTCCAGCTGGCTGGATTCCCACCCCCTGGCAGCCCTGTCCTTGCTGGGGCGTGACTGTGCTGTGGCGACCTGTTAGCACACGGATTCAGGGCTTAGAGAAACACAGCTAAAAAAAAAATATATATATATATATAAACCCAGCTCCAGCTTTGTGCCACAGCCCTAACCTGGTCTGAAAACAAAACATGCAGCCATGCACCCTTACCATGTGGTTAAATGACTCGACAGCAGAGCCCCATGAGCAGACCAAGCAGTTTAGTAGGATTCTAGAAAGCTGCAGACACCTACAGGGCTTGAGAAACTGGTAGGTGCAGGTACAAACCCATAGTGCATGGACAGAAACTTACAGACTGTCCAAGTTATTCTTAATTGTTCTTAAGCTGGACTGCAGCATGTCTGCCTTACTCATGGACAACTTAGGAGCTGTTCTCAGTGATGGGTAGCGTGAGTAATGCCAGACCCACCACACATATCCAGAGCTATGGCATGCAGTCACTGTGTGACTGAGTAATGTTTGATCAGCTGTATTAAACAGCATAAGATAGTACCTAGGATATCTAGAATACTCAGCTTTTAAATGTTTAGAGAGACTTCAGCAAATTTTTGTGAGGTAGGAATGTAGGGAACACAAGCCAAGATCAAAGTACAATTATGCCACCCTAATTGCTGAATTTCCTGTACATAACCCAAGTCTTTGCACTTCCTAGTTACAACTTACATCTGACTAAATTAAACAATGAATTCTAACACATACATTTTAGCACAAAAAAAAAATCCCATCACCACGCTACTAAAAACAACAACAACAACAAAAAACATATATCCTGGGAAACAGCATCACAGAGCATTTTCAAGGGAAAGGGTATTTTTAAATTCCTGTTTTCCAAGTTTCTGTATTTAGCAATGCTGGGCAGAAAGTCAAACATTTTCTTTTACTGCAGCAGATGCGAACTGCTGAAACTTCTCACGCTCTTGCTACCATCTTACATTAAGAGAGTAAAAGCAAGTACTCCTAAGCATTGCTAAAATACCTACACTATAGACATGAACAATAAACGGACACTTCAGTCAAGGGCTATTTAGTACCATCGCAATAAACAGTCAAGGTTCAAGGACAGCTGCAAATTAATTTCTTCAGTATCAAGCATCTTCTGGGCTACCACAGGCTCCCTATTATCCTATGATTATGGCACTTACTATGCACAGACAGTTTTAATGGATCTGAAAGAATTATAACAGAGGTCATTATGAAGTATTTCACTAATGTACTTGATGCTCTTTTCCTTGCTTCCAAAAATACAATCACACTGTTTTAACATAGCTGTTTTATGTAGTAATGAACTTAGGAATATCCAGCAGTAATGACGATACAGTGCAGAAGAGAAAAACATTCTGTGCAAATTAATGTACTGGAATGTTCTTTAGCATGTCACTTGATAAACCAAACAGAAAGATCAACACTGTTATTAGTAATTGGTTAAAAAAAAAAAAAAAAAAAAAGGAATAGAAACAGTTGTGGCAAAGCATTCACAAAGCGTTCAAAATTAAGACATTTCATGAACTGCTAATACTGCTCTAAATACTTCAGAAAATATTTAATATGAATGTTATTACAGACTGTAAAATTCATTTAGGTTTATTAAGAACTCAGAAAATTTATCTACTCAAATTTAACCTGAAAGGATTAGATGAGTGAGTTCGATGTACAAATTAAGCAGCAGTTTTAGTAAATGAAAAATCACGCTGCTAAGTAAGCACAAGCTTGGTGAAAAAATGAAGTCGGGAGTATTAGGAAATAGCATATTTGGGTAAATAGGAACTCTCCATATTTACACATGGCAGGACTGGGAATGAAACCAAAGCAGTCTCTCTCTTGCATATATCACAAAGAATTCACATATATAATACATAACACTCTTATTACAGAAGGCAGTTAGTAGATGTGTGAGGTGATTCACAGTTTTAGCCCCCAGTTTGGAAAAACTCTTTTAAAAAACTGAATACAAAGAACAAGTCTCATGATAATGAGACAGGAGACAGAGTTCTATTTTCCCAATTGTCAAATTAATTTTGAAGACCTTAAATGTAGTCAGTACCCTCAAGGCACTGACCGTCTGTGTTGCCTCCCAAATAGCTTACTGATGCAGGAAGGAGCTCTTTTTTCTTTTGCTTGAGTCATGGCCTCAGAAGCTGCTCAGCTGGAAGATTCTCAGTTATAGACACAGAAGATAAAGCAGACAAAGAGCAATGGCCATAAACCAGAAGGAAATCTTCAGCAACAGCCTAGGAAAACATTTTGAGAAAGGACAACTGGATAGAGAACAGATAGGGAATGAGCCATTATGCTAGCAACACAGGAGTCAGACAGTGAAGTGTCATTATTGACACTGAGAGACATTAGTGAAAAAATCCTGCTAAGATATAAAACTGAACCATCGTATGTCCTTGGTAGAGCTTATAAAATCATGCTTTATAAAGTACAGCTACATTATAAAGTATACAATCATTAATTTTTGAGGCATAGGGTGCAAAGATAGAATTGTATTCAATTTATAATTGAATTGACAAGGACTAGGAACTTCTGACACCAGAATGACAATGTATTCAAAGCATTCAAGCTCTGACGAGCTACATTAGCCATCCAAAATAGACTATGTATAAGCATGTAGGAATTGAAGACAAAGATCAGAGTACAAAGTTATTGCATGCTGAGCTGAAAAACAGACTGGAAGTGGGCATAAAGATGAAGTCACCTCACAAGAATATCATAATTGTTCCTTTGTCCCAGTGCAGTAAAAGGGCATAAGCATATTCTGAAGCCCACACCATTTGAATTAAGCATGTTCTTAAGTTTAGTGTGATTTCAAGATGTACTTTAAGTGTTTTACTGATTGGGATTAATCCATTTTACAGTGTAAAAGCAATAGCTTTAACAATGACGAAGGGTCTGTCTTTCTGTCGGTCTTAGACTTCTTTGGCACCTATGACTGCTTGCTTTGGACTACATTATGATACTTACACACATTTTGAGCTTTCTTCGGTTTTATCCATTTCAGTGGGAAGACATACAAAGGCTAAAGCTTTACAATTCAATCCAGGTCACAATTAACAAGATGCCAACCAAAGATGAAAAAGAGTAATTTTCTCACTGCTTAGATCTTGGTAAGGAGTCCTCAATTCTGTGGCTCTTGTCGAAACAGTTGGAGTTCCTAGAGCTACTGCTGTATGGGCAATTTCTAGCCCTTACCTTTCTGAAACAGACAAAGAATGAAAAGGAAGGGAACTCTGCAAAGGAAAAGTTACTGCATTTTTTGTTTATGTCTTTTTATGAAAAAAATATAATATATATATATATACACATATATTTATATACAAAAATTATAACATTAAAGTTAAGCTGAAAGCTCAACAACAGTTCTTCACTCTCTAGATCCAATATTAAAATGTCATTTGAAAAAAATTCAGGAACACAATAACTGGCTCATAGCAATTGCAGATCAACTTATTTTTTCTTTTTTGGCCTATAAACTCTCCACTGCTTAAAATATGCTGAGAGTTTCTCCCTTAGTCAAGCCTTTAGGAAGGAGATAAAATGACTCTGTAAACCTAAACTTGTAGTCCATGTTTGTGTTAATTGTGATATAGTATCAGCTGTTGGCCAAAATTTTAATTTAATCACTCTTAAATTTCAGAAAGTTACCTGAAGTCACTGAGGACATGCTCCTGCATTTGCTTGCTCACATACAGAGCCATAAAAATATACATACTTGTTTGTATATTTAGATGCTATATCCAAACTATGTACATCTGTATGCATAGATATTTTAGATATTTACAAACACTGTGCCTCTTCACTCCCTTGAGAGCACGCTAAAGCCCTTACTAACATAAACTGATCAAGATTTCAGCCCAATGATTTTTAGGCTGGGGCTTCCAAACAGGTGTTAGGATTTGTAGATAAGTCCTATACTGTCACATGGTTCAAACCCAGAATACAGGGTCAAAATATGCCAAAGGTTAAGAATCGTTGTTTAATGCTATTTATTTCCAGCAAAATTATGTCAGACTGCCTTTAAAATAGGCTTTTCCTAAATTTTCCTCCTGCTGTTTCACCTGATTGGATTAATCTATTTTCCACTCAATGGTATGAAATAGCTGTGTGACAAAGTGAAAAAGAAATCCCAAACAGAATATAAAATTAAATATAAATTATTTGAAAGTATGTTACAGCAAAGGATAAAAACACATAATTCTATCATCGAAAAGAGTTGACTGTCAAAAATCCAACACACAAAGTACATATGAAATATACAATCTGTTTTTTTTCATGTTTGAAAAATTACATTAATCCTTTTAGTGAATTTTTTTAACGTGTGGAGTACATTAGTCTGGATTAACGGATGGTGTTTATCATACTTTGTATTGTGGTTTCAGGAAATAGTCTGGCAATGCTAGGTTTCTACAAATGGATTTAAAATTAATCAACATCTATTTATGAGAAAGTTTAAACCATTATTAATACACTGTAAATACAGATCTCCTTAGAGCTGACCCCAAGTGTCTACCATCTGCTGAACTGTTGTAATCACATTTTTAAAGAGCATGGTCATACATAATGATTCTTCTCAGGAAAGAGCATCCTTAAGTACATCAGCAACATTTTAAATTCCACTTGTGTAATGCAATAATTTCCTACCGCCCTTTACTAAGGAAAAAAGCATATGGCGGTGACTAAAAGCCAATCAAACAACCCTTGATTTCTTTTCAGTACTGCATGAGTGATGAAGGGTTTTTTATTTATTTTTAGAAAAAGAAACTAAAAGACTATAGCTCTCAGATTTTTTTTTATTATTTTTTTTTAATTTATTTATTTTTCCATGAAAAGTAGGTACTAACGCTGGCTTAGCTACAGCATTTTTGATGTTAATATAGGTATACATAACATTAAGTCCAAATACTAATGGTCTGGTAAATTCAGCTATATTATATACGTGAATTAAATCACAGTTTTAGTGAAGTCATCTGAATCAAATATAAGTGCTCCAAACAACTTAATTTGAAGTACTCCATAAAGTCCTTTCTAATCCTGACAACATTGTTCCAAATTAATGAACAAGGTATGAAGCATCAGTTTACAACTCGTCTATTGGAAACAGGGACAACTCATCCTGTACTGACATTATTTACACATCAAGGATAAGCAGTGCTATTCATTTAAGACATTTAACTTCTTTTTATAGGACAAGTGTGAGAGAGAAGGGAGGGGAATGAACCCCCAGATCAGTCTTCTATTTCCATGACACTTGTCAGCACACAACCCAGCTACAGGGCACACTGCAGTATGTTTTTAAACAGCGCTGCCACATAGCACCTACTGGCCACACCAACCTTCCTGTCTCCAATGGAGAAGCTATTTGGTGGCTTCTGCAGGAAAGCAAGTGAAAGAGGTGCTGTTATACGTAAAACCATCTTAGTTCGGTGCTCTTCTTGCAAGTCCTTCCCAACATCAAATCCCTCTCTAGGCTGTTGCAGCAAGAAAACCCTACTTGTATGTAGACAAAGGAAAGACACGTCATTCAGATTTCCAAAACTTAATACATACTTTTCCACTTACTATGCATTCTTTCAGCTAACTGATGGTCAAGATCAGGCTTTATGCCTGAACAACGTAAATCACTGACAACTATACCTACTCACTGTTTAACATGAGCCAACAGCAAGGAAGTTTTCTTTTAATTTCCTATTTTGGTAGTGTTTTCTGTAATAGGCTTAAGGCGCATAGCCAAGACTCTCATGTACTATGTTAACACAATTAAATAATTTTAATCAGCAGTTATCCTGTGAAATGAGCAGCAAACACAACCAGAATATATACTGTCATGTTATTGAAAGGGTTCACCTCCTATTTCCCAGTGCAACTGCATAATTCATTCGTAGATATTTGTTTTTGTGGAACAGATTGTCAGCAAATGTGAACTTCATTGGTTAAATGATATTTCAGTGATTCATCCCAGATGATATGTTGTTTGTCTGGGGGGGGGAAGGGGAGGGGGAGAAGAGAACTGTAACTAACTCTGAAGAAGAATGCTAAAAAATCTGTAGTAGTGGGCCATCATTTTGAAAGTATATTTACAAGACACAAGCAGAAGTGCAACTACCCTCTACCACTTCTGTCTCAAAACCCGTCTATACTTATAGACTGATTTTTGCCCTCTAAAATTGGAAATAACATTTCACGATTTTAGAGGTGGAATTAGGTCACGGAATCTAACACAGAATCACGCGACCTCTTCCTGGGCTCCAGTTATGATTTTCAGCTGCTTGCAGTGCTCAGACAGCAGACTGCCAGGCTCCAGAGAACTTCACTACAATATATTGCTCATTCTGTATTAAGAAAATAAGAATGAACTGTGCACCTCTCCACCCATCCTATGCCATTGTCAATATAATTCCAGCATATATTCTGCAGTCACTAGCTCTCCTTTGGAGATTTCTGGAGACTTTTCTTTCTTTTTTAAATCCAAGATATTGTTGAGTTGTCAAGTTGAGCAATTATCATTCCAGCTAAAGTTTGTAACTTCAAAAAATAATTTCATTTTTATATCTCATTTTAGAAATATTTTTTAATGTGAATTAGACACAAGATTTATTCAGTACTGTGACCCACAAATAGTAGCCATGTTTCACATGGTGTTTTCATTGATATTCACCAATCTTATGGATAAACAGAATGACTACCACTAAATCAATTGAGCAATTACTCCTGATTTTTTTTTTTTTAAACTTTCTTCAAATGCTAGTAGACATGTCTGTAATTCTTCCAATTAAAACAACAACAGCAAGCAAGCAAACAAACAACCATCAAAAGCACTCTAGGAGTTTCAATGACTCAAACAACTCATAGTAAGATACTGTTTTTCAGCTTTCAGCAACCAGTAGTAACAGAAAATCATTTTCATAGGATGCTTTTGTAAGTCCAATGTGAAATAATTTTATCATCATTACTGCTCTGCAAAGTTTGATGAGCTTGCTTCAAATTGACTTGACAAATCATTTTCTTGAATATGGCAGGCTTGATTTCACTTGTCCAAATAGACTCCATTCCCCCAGAATAGTCCATAATTTCCCAGAGAACATGGAGAAGAAATTTCATAGACCATGAAATGGCCTGGTGAGGCTGTCACTACATGGACAGCTCACTTCAGAATATACACCTGCAACTACGCAAATCACCAAAGAAACCTAAAAGTTAAATCATTGCTGTGAAATGATCTGGACATGTTGAATGAATGGGATGACATTTACCAACGCACATTAATTCCATTTACTCAGGTCCTTTATTATTTTATCATATATTATTTTATGAAGAATGTGTTAGACAAGCCTGTTCATATAAAATCAAGACTATCTACAGTGGCAGGGCTTGTCTTTTGTTTTGTAACTTAGCAATTGTAACTTCCAATATTCATTGGAATTCAACTGGCAGGTTAAAAAAAGATTGGGGTGGACATAACTTGAGTAAAGCCTTCTGAAACACTACCAGCAGGCTACTATTATGCTATTACTGCAACTGATTACTTCACTAAATGACTAGAGCAGCCTTCACTTCCCAGGTTACTTCCAGAACAGTAATCAAGGCCTCATTTTCAGTCATGAAGGAAATCCAAATGAATTACTCTTTTACAATGGGCGTACATTTATGTCTGCGGAATCTGATGAATTTCCAAATGAGAGAATTATTAGTTACAGACATTCTCCTGTCTATTATCATCAGACCAACAGGTAAAGAAAATGTTTCAACAAGACTCAGAAAGCTTCTCTGCAAGTTGTTGTCCTACAAAGAAAGCTGTGGCAATAATTTGCTTAGCAGTTTTTTTACAAACTAAACAGAAACTTGTCTGGCACACAGATCCAGATGTCTCCCAGAACCTCTGCAAGGCAAGGCTACAGAAACACAGCTTTGGTCACCTAGAAATCTGCCAGACCAGTACGGTAAAACTCACGTGAAAGAGCGTGCAAGACAGTGACAAAAATAAGACAATGTACATTGATGCAGCATGTGTGACTTGCACATTATATTGCAATTTTTTTTTTTGTATTTATTCAAATCAAAGCACTAATCTTGACCCACAACTCTGTGCAAGAGAAATATTCTTTCTGTATAGGTATTTCAGACAAGAAAATACAATGTATTTTTCATTTTTCCACTCAAAGGCTAGGTTTGTGGTTCTCAGGTAAATTTGGTAATGTC